TGCATTTTGCTACACTCTTTTCAAGATTATCTATGAAGAATCTATATTTATCTATTGTATTTAAATCATGAAAGGAGGCTGATAGAAAGGAGGAGAATGAAAGTGTCAATAACATCGCCGACTTGTTCCAATCGGTCCGAACTGACGAGAGTTTGAATGATTTTTTTATGTATTGTGTTTTACGGACACTAAGATCTATAGAAATTGGATAGTGGTCTGATCCCCATGTTTCATCGATTGTATTTACTGTAATAATATCTGCTATACCTGGACAGCTCATGACTAGGTCAATATTCGATTTAGTCCCTTTATAAACATCTAGATGTGTGTATGTGTCTGTGTTGTGAAGAAAGATGTTTTTTTCGATACAATCGTATAATCTCTGACCATCGGGTTTATTTACTCTGCAGTTCCACGCGACATGGTGCGCGTTGAAGTCGCCCACTAACATACAATTGTCTATTTTTAGGTAAACATCAATTATTTTTTTCCAGTGTTCTAGATCAAGGGGCCCTTGGGAAGGTGTGCGGTAACATGCTAGCAAATTTATTTTTGGTTGCGCGCTATTAATTTCTATTCCAGCCAATTCGACTGTAGGATGCGGATTATCGATGTTTCTAGGTGGTTTGAAGGACAAATGGTTTTTAACAAAAAAAATAATACCTCCTGATAGTGGGTCTGGTTTGTCGACCCGGTGCGTTCGAAAGCCCCGGAATTTGTATGGCCGCGTGTCGTTGATGTCGAGTTTGGTCTCAACGCCAATGAAGATGTCGACATCCTGGAGCGCTCGGTCAATGTCTTCTATATGACTCTTACGGCCTCTCATGTTCCAGAAGAGAATCTTGATGTTGCAGTTGTTGATGACGGGAACGGGTTGAGAGTGTTGTGTGTGTTGGTTAGCCATTGGAGATTTTATGTTTGTGAACTCACGGAGGCGGATGTCAAGTACCCATCCTCGTTGTCATAGGTGTGGACTCTGTCGAGTTTATTTGCTATGATGGTAACTCTACTCTTGAACTGTCTCTCGACTATGTGCATACCGAATGTTCTCAGATCAGTTGCTATTTCTAGAGGATCTTTTTCCCACTTCTCAGCTAGAGTTCTCATGTCCTTGATTTCGTATGATTGGTCCACGAACCGGATGAACTGTTCGTAATTCAGGCAGAACTCCTGTGGGCGTTCCTTGAGGTATCTGGCAAGACGAGGGGAGTGTGTTTTCATGTGTTCGGGAGTAATGAGACGAGTTTTAACCCTTGCTTTTTTATTCCTCCTCTGTTGTTTCTTTGGGTATTCGAATTCACCGTCGCCGTCGTGGCCAATTGGGTTATCAAGGATTGTTGTTACGCTGCCAGGTGTTTCAAGCGCCGCTCGTTTTGGCCTGTTTATATCCTCAGTGTTTCCAGAATCCATTGGCTCAATTGTTGTGATTGTCGGATTGGCCAATGTGGCATTATTGGTGTCAACAGGTTCTTTAATCGTGTGCTTAGAATTGCTGTTATTTCCTTTGGATACACTGGATTTATTGAGGTTTATTTGTGATGGACGAGCGGGGGGAGTAGCTCGAGCCATCTGTAATCTGTGTGAAGCTGTTCCTTGTTGTTTTTGTGGAAAACCTTGGGGGCAATCCTTTGCGATATGACCTGTTGTGAGGCACTTGTAGCAGCCCTGGTTATCGATGATGGGAGACACCATGTATTGTACGTTTTGATGAATGACCCTGATGGTTTCGGGCAACTTGAGAATGTCCTCCTCCTTGACTCTAACTTGTCTCCTGGCGCTAGCCACTGTGTAGCCGTCGAGGTCCAGGTTGAGATTCAATTTGGAGACTTCGGAAGCCAGTTCGATGCCCAGATTCTTAGGGGATTCTTCAATTGCTGAATTGGGGAGTCTGAGGCCTACATTTGAAAAGATGATCTTTCGGGTTTTAGCCTTCTCTGGAAGGATATCCAGCTTGTTGTCACCGATGTATAGACAGGTAGTTGGTGAGCAGTTTCTCAACCAATTCTGGTGTTGATACATACAGGGAAATACGATTCCCGGGAATTCTCATGGCTCCCTTGACGTGCGATCTCCCAATAAATTCCCCAATGGCGTAAACATATTCTTTGATTTTGGTACCTTGGATTGCACTTATTACTAGTCCTTGTTCTTCAGTAAGAAGTTCCTCTTGCACTGGTGTTGCATTACTGGTAACCTGCGCGAACGAGAGCGGGGCTTCTTGAGACTGGGACAGCATGGCCTGCGATTTCTGAGTTTCTGAGTCTGGATCGTTGTTTTTTGACACTTAACTTGTTTCAACCATGTCAATTGGTGAAGGGTAGAATGGATAATTTTTTGGGGGAAGCCCTGACTGGGCTAGTCTCTCAAGGTGCACAGTATAGATATCAAACTGGTGTGGTTTCGCGGAGCGGAACCAAAACACGTCTGCTCTCTATGACGGCTCAGACGAGACTCAACAAATGGGTTTACAAGATTTAGTTATTGATTATTATTTCCCGATAATCGTCGGCCATCCCCTTGGAATTTCCGAGGTCATTAATTAATTATTAATTATCTCCTCAACCGAGAATTTCAAGAGATTTTGTCAGAAAAACTTTTTTCTGTTACATTTCATTAACAAGATAAAAGATCTACTGACAAAATTTCCTAGTCCTCTTGGGATCTGAGATAATTAACAATTAAACAATCACCTCAGAAATCGCAAGGGGTACGGGGGTAATTTTCTCAATTATTTCGCAAAAAAAACTCTTTTACAATTATCTTGTAAACAAATGGGTTTACAAGATTTAGTTATTGATTATTATTTCCCGAAAATCGTCGGCCATCCCCTTGGAATTTCCGAGGTCATTAATTAATTATTAATTATCTCCTCAACCGAGAATTTCAAGAGATTTTGTCAGAAAAACTTTTTTCTGTTAAACTTCATTAACAAGATAAAAGATCTACTGCCAAAATTTCCTAGTCCCCTTGGTATCTGAGATAATTAACAATTAAACAATCGCCTCAGAAATCGAAAGGGGGACTGGGGTAATTTTTTCAATTATTTCGAAAAAAAAAACTCTTTTACAATTATCTTGTAAACAAATGGGTTTACAAGATTTAGTTATTGATTATTATTTCCCGAAAATCGTCGGCCATCCCCTTGGAATTTCCGAGGTCATTAATTAATTATTAATTATCTCCTCAACCGAGAATTTCAAGAGATTTTGTCAGAGGAACTTTTTTCTGTTACATTTCATTAACAAGATAAAAGATCTGCTGAGAAAATTTCCTAGTCCTCTTGGTATCTGAAATAATTAACAATTAAACAATCGCCTCAGAAATCGAAAGGGGCACGGGGATAATTTTCTCAATTATTTCGCAAGAAAAAACTCTTTTACAATTATCTTGTAAACAAATGGGTTTACAAGATTTAGTTATTGATTATTATTTCCCGAAAATCGTCGGCCATCCCCTTGGAATTTCCGAGGTCATTAATTAATTATTAATTATCTCCTCAACCGATAATTTCAAGAGATTTTGTCAGAAGAACTTTTTTCTGTTACATTTCATTAACAAGATAAAAGATCTACTGACAAAATTTCCTAGTCCTCTTGGTATCTGAGATAATTAACAATTAAACAATCGCCTCAGAAATCGAAAGGGGGACGGGGGTAATTTTCTCAATTATTTCGCAAAAAAAAACTCTTTTACAATTATCTTGTAAACAAATGGGTTTACAAGATTTAGTTATTGATTATTATTTCCCGAAAATCGTCGGCCATCCCCTTGGAATTTCCGAGGTCATTAATTAATTATTAATTATCTCCTCAACCGAGAATTTCAAGAGATTTTGTCAGAAGAACTTTTTTCTGTTAAATTTCATTAACAAGATAAAAGATCTACTGTCAAAATGTCCTAATTCTCTTGGTATCTGAGATAATTAACAATCAAACAATTGCCTCAGAAATCGAAAGGGGGATAGCTGTGATTTTCGGAATTTTTCCGAAGAAACACGCTCTTTCTCAATTATGTGGTAAACAATTGGGGTTAGGGGATTTTTCCATTGATTATTTTTTATCGCAAATCGAATTTGCAACAAAAATAATCTGTTTGAAACGCAGTTAAAATTCAGTATATCAACGGTTGACCACAGATCGGCCACTTACGAAAATCTTCGGGAAACCTCGGGTCAACGGTCAGGCGTAGTCAATCACCGAATCTCAGAGTCAGTTAGTCAGTCGTAGAGAGTCGTAGCAAATGAGTTGAGCGAGCAGTATATCGTTTTTCTAAAGCTACTTTCGGTTGTCCGAACAGCGTCAGTACATCACCCGTTCGAGACATTTTGTTTTCTCAGTACATCTCCTATTTAAATTCTCAGTACAGTCTCCTATTATTCAGTATATTATTCAGAAAATCTCCAGTGTTAAATTCAGAACAGTTTGAATTAATTTCAGTGACAAAAAACAGAGTGTAACAAGTGACGCTAAGGTGGTTCGATTCCACCGAATAAATCAGTATATTTTTTATAGACTCAGTGCGTTCGTTTTTCACCGGCATTTCCACTACCCCTTTCCCAATCCACCCTAAATTCAGTTTTCCCTCCAAACACATGGTCCTTCGAGCCGGATTCGGGAATCGGTAGTGTGAAATTATTCAGTGCAGTGAAAAACCCACGCGGACATTCGGGGTTCACATCAGAAACTCAACGGACAAATTCAGACGTGTTTGTGCCAGTATTTATATTCTCCGGACAATAGAAGTATAAACACCATTGTTCTCCAGTGCCTCAACGTGCCGTAGAGTCGAGGGTCAGCGAGAATCACCGAGTGTTGCCGAACATTCTCAGCGCTGGCCCAGCGCCCAGCAACAGGCGGCGCCTCACAGCAGCAGAGTCGATCAGTTACCGACGCAGCACAGCAACTCACCGAGTGGTAAACTGCAGATGGTCGGTAAAGTAGAAACTCTCGTACTAATTTACCAAGGGATCTGACAGGTTGTAAACAAAACAGTACATCACCATGTCAGGCTCCGAAACAGTAATTGAACAAGGATTGCAGGACAGTAAGGAGGAAATTAATCCATCCACGAGCGCAGTAAACTCACCACCTGGAATTCCGAAGGTCATCATCAATGCCCCTGATGGAGATACACTCAATCAAGGGGACAAATTAATTTCGGATGTCAAGCAGAGGTACTCCGAGATTATTCAAGTTCCAGAGGATGGTCTCACAGTGCATCAACTCATCCAACTGAGGCAGATACAGCTCAGGGTGGACAGTATTACGGAGGTTTATCAGGAACTCACCAAGGTCATCATGACCGACGAGGATGTCACCTCCGAGGATTTGGACGGCCACGATAGGATCTTGGATTCCGAATGGGCAGAATTACTCACCATCCAGGGGAGCCTGATCGAGTCCATTCCACACGATTACCCGTATCTCGCGAACGGGGTATTCGAGCAGGCAGCCACCACCAGGAAGCAATGCGTCAGGCTCATCAGCAGGTTGACGGGTCAACTGGCTAAGAAAGCTCAGCCACCCAGTACACCACCGAGTCCTCAACACCACGATCAGCTGAAGAGACTGGACATCAAGCCTTTTGATGGCAATCCTTCACAGTGGAAGGAGTTCAGTGACCTCTTCACTTCACTGGTGGGCAGCAAATCTACAATTCCCCCAGTGGAGAAATTGGTGAGGCTGAAGAGCAGCCTCAGAGGACCAGCAGCAGCTCTGATCTCTACGATACCCATCAGCGATCAGAATTATGAGAACGCATGGAGAAAGCTCCAAAAGAAGTACGATGATCCCAGACTTTTGGCACAGTACTTATTTAATCGAGTCCTGGAGTTGCCAAAAATCACCAAACCCACGGAACAGAATCTCACCGACAACGTGGCAGCAGTGGTCGAGTCGCTGGACCAGCTCAGAACAGTGGCCGGCCTTTCAGAAGCGAACCTAACTGAACAGCTGTTCGCTCACCTCCTGAGGAAGTCCTTGGACGCAGAGACTCTCAGACAATGGGAGTTGAAATTGGGAGACGCCAAGGATTTCCCCAGTCTCACAGAGTTCGTCGTATTCGTGGAGTCCTGTGCCAGGGGTATCAACGCAGGGTCCAAACTCCACTCCAGACAGCAGATCACCGCTCCCAGCAAACCACCTATTAAGAAGAAAGGAGCTTACGCAGCAACTCAACAAGTGGAGGACAGCGCTCAGCAGAACAGTCACCAAAGGAAAGAGTGTTCCATGTGCAAAGGGAACCACTTTGTTGACAAGTGTCAGCAATTCAAGGAGCTGGACCCAGTAAAGAGAAACGGCCTGGCCATCGACAAGAAACTATGCTTCAGGTGCCTGGGCACGCACAAAAAAGACAGGTGCAGCTCAGACGAACAATGCCACAAGTGCAAAGGATCTCACCACACTCTGATCCACGGAGGCAGCAGGTACACAGGATGGGCTCCTCCACGTCGTGACTCGGAAGCTGCAGGGTTCTCTGGAACTGCCAACAGACCTGCAGAAGAGAGGATCAACGAGGACCAGAGTAAGTGAATGTTCCTTTAATATTATCAGTACATTCACTTTCTCATTGGTCATTCTCAACAGCTAAGCCCAGTACATCAACACCAGCAGTTAACCTCAACAATCAGATGACCAATGGGAACCAGCAGTCAAATCAACCTTCAGAAGATCAACAATCGGTGCTGTTGGCGACAGCCCGAGTTACAGTGAAATCACCACGAGGATTCTCCAGCAGAGCCAGAGTCCTCATCGATCAGGGATCAGAGGTGTCATTCATCTCAGAAAAACTAGTAAATCAACTGCACTTGTCCAGGAAATCAACAACGTTGGAATTAATCGGAATTGGAGGAGTTAATTCCGGCAGCACGAGAGGATTGGTATCAGTTACACTTCAGGCAATCAACGGAAAACAACAGGTTCAGATCAGCGCCCACATATTGAAGAGACTCACCGCAATTCTACCATCGTTCTCATGTGCCTCAGCGAACATCGGTTCATTAGAAAATCTCCAGCTAGCAGATCAGCAGTATCTCAAGCCCGGACCAATCGATATCATCATAGGGGCTGACAACTACGGGCGAATCATCAGAGATGAAGTTGTCAAGTCCAAGCAGTCAAAAGTCGTCGGCCAACGCACAGTCTTTGGTTGGATTCTATCAGGTCCAATCAACTGCACCGGTTGTTCAGCGAGGATCTCCCTATCAGCTGTAAGGACCTCCTCAAACGAACAACTTCTAGAACTTCTCCAGAAATTTTGGGTCCAGGAAGAGTTACCAGTTCAGCAGTCAGACAATTCAGAGTTATCACCAGACGAGCTGGAGTGTGAGAAACACTTCTACACACAGCAGAGATTCAACGGGACGGTTCATAGTGAGGCTCCCGTTGAAAACCTCCACAGCAGCTCTCGGGGAGTCGAAATTCAAGGCTTCGCGTCAGCTCAGATCTACAGTCAGCAAACTCACCAATAATCAGGCATATGCCCAGCTGTACAAGGAGTTCATCAACGAGTACGAAACTTTGGGTCATATGCAAAGAGCACCAGAGACAGCAGAACCCGTTCCAGTTTATTATCTTCCACACCACGGGGTTCTGAGAGCAGATGCAATCACCACAAGGTTGAGAGTCGTCTTCAACGGCTCCAGCCCCACTTCATCAGGAACGTCACTCAACGACATTCTACATCCAGGTGGAAAACTTCAGACCAACGCCATGGACGTTCTAACATGGATGAGAAAGCACAGGCTCGTGTTTGGCACTGACATAGTCAAGATGTTCAGGCAAATACGAGTTCATCAGGACGATTGGGACCTGCAGAGAATTTTGTGGGTTGACGACAACAAACAGCAAATCTCCTACCAGCTCACCACCGTCACCTACGGGCTCAATTGCTCCCCATGGCTGTCTCTGAGAGTTCTCCAGCAGTTAGCAGAGGACGAGGGTCCACGATTTCCAGCAGCCGTCGAGACAATCACCAGAGGTCGTTACGTAGACGACATCTACGGCGGAGCAGACTCACCAGCAGAACTCAAGGAGATAGTATGGCAGTTACAAGGACTTTGCCAGGCAGGAGGCTTCCCTCTCCAGAAATGGAGCAGTAATTGCCCTCAGCTCTTGCATGAGCTCGGCCTATCAACAGAGCAAGAAGTCATTCAGTTTGAAGAGTCCGTCACTAAGGTACTGGGTCTGTGTTGGCATCAGTCGTCCGACACATTCCAGTACAAATCCAGAGACTTCAAAACAGAGACGATCACCAAGAGAATTGTCTCTTCAGAGATAGCCCAGATCTTCGATCCTTTGGGATTTATCGCTCCAGTCGTCGTCCAGGGGAAAATTCTCCTTCAGGATCTCTGGAAACTCAAATGCAGTTGGGATGACCCCCTCCCCCAAGAGTACATTCACCGGTGGGAGTCATTTCGCCAGGAACTCACCGAACTAGATAAAGTTGCAGTACCCAGATGGCTCAGACTCTCACCTCAGACAAACGACATCCAATTACACGGATTCGCAGATGCCTCAACAGTAGCTATGAGTGCTGTGGTCTACATTCGCACTCAGAATCTCAACGAGCCAGTCTCCACAGTTTTGGTCTGCGCTAAAACCAAGGTAGCACCGATCAAGCGCATGACTATTCCATGTCTGGAACTTACTGCAGCTCTCCTGTTAACTCAACTCGTAACATCAACGCAGCAGATGCTCCAGCTAGACCAGGTAGAAACTCACCTTTGGTCAGACTCAGCAGTAGCTCTCGCGTGGATCAGGAGTCCGGCCTCGAGATGGAAAGACTTCGTCCACAACAGAGTGGTAAAAATCCAGGAAACTCTCCCGAATGCCACTTGGAGACACGTCAGTGGGAAGGAGAATCCAGCCGACTGCGCCTCCAGGGGCATAACACCAAGTCAGCTAGCAGATCATCACCTCTGGTGGNTCGCGTGGATCAGGAGTCCGGCCTCGAGATGGAAAGACTTCGTCCACAACAGAGTGGTAAAAATCCAGGAAACTCTCCCGAATGCCACTTGGAGACACGTCAGGGGATAGGAGAATCCAGCCGACTGCGCCTCCAGGGGCATAACACCAAGTCAGCTAGCAGATCATCACCTCTGGTGGACAGGACCTGATTGGATAAATCAGGACCCTGAAGACTGGCCACGATCAACTATCGATGCTCCACCAATGGACATCCCAGAAGTGGCCAAAGAAGCGAAACCAGCAAAATCTCACCCAGTCGTACAGAGAATCAACGAGATTGCCGAGCTCCTCAACAGATACAGCACGATGGCAAAGCTGTTAGCAGTAACAGCGACCATCAACAGGGCCATCGACAGATTCAGGAGGCAGCCAATGCCCCCGGGATCTATCTTGACCACCAGAGAACTCAACGATCCGAGATTATTTTGGGTAAAAATAACACAACACCAGTACTTTGTTTCAGAACTCAGAGTACTTCTCAGAAATCAGCAGCTACCTAGAAATCACCAGTTAGCGAAATTCACCCCAACTCTGGACGAGAAGGGCATCATGAGACTTGGGGGACGCCCCAAGAACTCAGAACTCCCTCCAGAACAGATCCACCCAATAATCTTGCCACGTCAGTCCAGATTCACCACACTCGTCATCGCAGAAGCTCACCAGAAGACCCTCCACGGAGGGACACAGCTCACTTTGGCCTACACTCGGCAACGCTATTGGATACTCGGTGGCAGGGGCACAGTTAGAGCCTACATCCTACGCTGTGCTATCTGCGCCAGACACCGAGCTAGACAGGCTCAGCAACAGATGGGTTAATTGCCCGCAACCAGAGTCTCATCAGGAAGAGTATTTCTCCACACGGGGGTGGACTATGCAGGTCCTTTCGCCATCCTCAAGTGGAGACCCACGAATGCTCAACCGGGATCAGTGCACATCGCAGTGTTCGTGTGCTTCACCACGTCAGCAGTTCACCTAGAGCTCGTCAACAGGCAAACCATAGAAGCCTTCCTCGGAGCTTACAAGAGATTCACCGGAAGACGAGGTATTCCAGCAGTTATGTACAGTGACAACGCCACCACCTTCGTCGGAGCAGCAGATCAACTCGAAAGGCGCTATCACCAAGCATCTAAAGGAAATCAACGTGTTCAGGCTGCTCTCGCCACCAATGGCACTCAGTGGAGCTTCTCACCACCTAGAGCACCCCATTTTGGTGGCAAATGGGAAGCAGCAGTAAAATCAACGAAGCATCACCTCAAGAGAGTCCTGGGAACGACAACTCTAACATTTGAGGAACTCAACACAGTCTTAGTTCAGATTGAAGCCTGCCTAAACTCCAGGCCAATCTGTCCGATGTCAGACGACCCAGAAGATCTCCAGGTTCTCACCCCGGGACACTTCTTAATCGGCGAGCCTCTACAGATAGTACCAGAGTCATCCTACGTCGACGAGAATCCCCTCAAGATGAGGAGATGGAACCTCGTGACTCGGATAGTTCAACAGTTCTGGTCCAGGTGGTCCAAAGAGTGTCTCCAACGATACCAGGCTATCTACAAGTGGAAGACACGCCAGCAGAACATCGAGGTTGGTAACATGGTGCTGATGGTCGACGATAACCTTCCACCAGCCCAGTGGCCAATCGCCAGAGTCATCGCGACTAGACCAGGAGCAGATGGGCTCACCAGAGTAGCCACAGTCAGAACGAGCAAAGCAGAAATCGGCAGACATCAAGATGGGTCGCCTAATCTCCAGAACATCACAGCAGCCCACTCGGTGTTTAACAGACCAATCACCAAGCTCTATCTGCTTCCTACAGACCCACCTACACCAGAACAACCTCCAGAAGAAGATCACCCAGATGATGAAGACGATCAACAGCAAGGGGACATCCAGGAATTGCAGGACTGACAGTTAAGTATCATCTTCCATATGTTTTTTAATTTGGCAAGTGATACGTCTCTCACCCTGTTTTTCTCCCCTTAGTAAGCATCAGCAGAACCAGAATCAGCAGAACCAGACCAGCAGAAACCAGATCCAGTAATTCAACAACCTGATGTTGAATGCCCCCGGGGTGTTTGAAACGCAGTTAAAATTCAGTACATCAACGGTTGACCACAGATCGGCCACTTACGAAAATCTTCGGGAAACCTCGGGTCAGCGGTCAGGCCTAGTCAATCACCGAATCTCAGAGTCAGTTAGTCAGTCATAGAGAGTCGTAGCAAATGAGTTGAGCGAGCAGTATATCGTTTTTCTAAAGCTACTTTCGGTTGTCCGAACAGCGTCAGTACATCACCCGTTCGAGACATTTTGTTTTCTCAGTACATCTCCTATTCAAATTCTCAGTACAGTCACCTATTATTCAGTATATTATTCAGAAAATCTCCAGTGTTAAATTCAGAACAGTTTGAATTAATTTCAGTGACAATTAACAGAGTGTAACAAGTGACGCTAAGGTGGTTCGATTCCACCGAATAAATCAGTATATTTTTTATAGACTCAGTGCGTTCGTTTTTCACCGGCATTTCCACTACCCCTTTCCCAATCCANCGCTAAGGTGGTTCGATTCCACCGAATAAATCAGTATATTTTTTATAGACTCAGTGCGTTCGTTTTTCACCGGCATTTCCACTGCCCCTTTCCCAATCCACCCTAAATTCAGTTTTTCCTCCAAACATAATCTAATGGAAAAATGATGTAAACCCAATAGTTTTTTAAATAATAATCAAAAATTATTCAAGACTTTATTGCAATTATGTAATCAACTATTGGGTTTACGTGATTTTTGCATAAGATTAGTTTGTTGCAAATTCGATTTGCTACAAAAAATAATGAATTGAAAAATCCCCTAAACCCAATTGTTTAACAGATAATGGCAAAAACATTTTCGTAGAGAGATGTGAGAGAGCGAGAGAAAAATATCTTTCCTTCTCTCTCTCGCTCACGGGTGAACGTAAAACGCTATCCCGCCTCCTGCTGACTAGAAGGAGAATCACGCACACCGGTGCGCGGAGCCACACGGATGTACTGCCGCTTAACGCTGCAGCGTCATTGGCTGTCCTATTTACCCCAATATCTCCGGAGGGGTGCTTCTGATCGAAAAGTGGAAAAGGACTTTTCGGCTCAGAATCACCCCCTGTACATGCTGGTTCAAGATCAGCATGTACTTCTGGGACACCCTGTATACTAAAAAAACGTATAGAAGAGGTACGAAAATTACCAATAGAATGGGCGAAAAACTCAATACATTTCCAATAAAATTTTCTAGCGAATACATTATAGTGTACTGAAATAAAAAGTGTAAGAATTGTACAACTAACTACTAACAATTGTTCTACGATTAACCAATAACAATTGTCGACAATTCCTACAGTTTGAAGCGATATTATTATCCAAAGAGCAAAACTGAATGCTAGAAAACTATATTGATCTTACCCTCAATACCACAGTGGACTGCTGTTGTAGACCTAAATTAACTGAAATACATAGTTTATTCATGAATTAGACCAATGTACATTTAATGCCCATTGATTGAAGAAGTTGCGGGTTTCTCGGCAATGGTATCACTGATAATTTCATTTATTTATGGAACTTTTTTCACTTAGTTGACTTCATCTATTCATTTGCTGTCACGTATTTGTGTATACTCTTAGAGAGGAATTTAAATTTCATGGACAGTCGACTAGTAGCTTTCAGAAGAGTGACATCGAATGCGATTTAGAGAGAAAAAAATTCGCGGAAAAATAATGAAATTTCAGATTTTCAAATTTCTGCGCAGCATTGAGACCAGAATGCCTCAATTTAATCAAATTTTCCATGAAAATATGAATATTCTGTGAAAAATTATCCTGAATTTTTGAATTATTGAAAACTGAATAATGTATTTAGCGAAATTTCCCAGATTTCTATCATTTTTCAGTTCAGTCGAAATTTCATCGGAACTAAAATGTATTAAAAATTTCCTGAAGCTATGCTAAAAATTTCTGTCAAAAATTTCAACCGTGTCGAAATCCAACTTGTTGTTATAATAAAATACCCCAGTATTGAACGATTTTTCCCAAATACCTTAGCACTAGAACCAGCATGCATTAATTGTATCTCCATAATTGTCCTCTGAACAAGGTTAGATTTATTCCATCTTCTGAAGAGTGGATTCTCTCTCTTCTTCATTGCCTCGTACTTGTTCTTCCATCTTCTCATCTTCTGCATAATTATCGGATATTTCTTCTCAGTACGAAGCAGTTGGGCCAATTTCTTCTGTGTGATTGGAGAAGGGTTTTTCGTCACAATTTTTTTTGCATAATACTTTCGAGAAGTTGCATCAATTTGTCTCTGGGACTTTCTGATAGATTGATGATCTCGATTATTGTCATTCACTTCTGCATCAATTGGAACCCCTGTCTCATCATCGTTCATGATAGCAGATGATGTACTTGGAGTTGGAAATCGCTCTGAGCTCCTACAAGGCTTTTCACGTGGATTTTGAAGTTCTTTGGCCGTTGTGCCATCTTTATCTTCGTCATTATTGTCTGCAGGAACACGATCAGTAGTTACTGATGCATAGAATTCATTGGCAGAAACCTGATCGGTTGCAGTATCGCCAGTCGGCATCTCAAATTCTGAGATTCTGTAAGAATCATGGAGGAGAGCATCTGAATTCGCAGAATGGTCTTCAGTTTCTCCGCTTTGAGGTCCGGAAGTCGTCAAGTACAGAGTTGGAATGCTATTGATGTTGATTCGTTTCTGCTTGCTTGTCTGAGAGTATTGATCGGGGGCGAAATGCTTATAACAAATTCGATACTGACACAGATCTTCGGTCTTCACGTCCTTGAGAAGTGGAGAGCAAACGGCTGTTCGCCATCTCTCCGCACTCCATGCTCGTTTTGGAAATAGATGTTTTGGCTCCTTGGGCAATGAGGAGCAGCCAGGAACCACGCAGTCTCTAGTTACAGGCATTCTCGCCACTCATGACTGTTTTTTTTTTAAGTAAAAGAAAAAACTTTTTTCTTTTAATACGGGTTAGAGATTCAAATTTAAAACTATATGAACATTGACGCGCATTCAAAAATTATCCTGTTCTGCACATGAGCAATGCGATAGTGGCGCTAACGTCGTCTCAGTTTGGAAGCTTTAAAAGCGTTCACTGATTTCTGGCTAGTCGGATGCCCCTGTTCAAGACTGACTAATTTTGATTTTTCTGACATTTTTATATGAATTTTGGGGTTCCTTGTCACATGGGCTCCAACGAGTCCTTTTTTAATTGGTGGAAAATCTCGTATAACATTTCCCACTCTTTTGATTTCTATTGGGGAAGTAGTTTCGTTCGGGTTTTGGGGTTTCGATTCATCAGTTCTCAATCATTCCTCTGTGTGCGAAATTTGAAATTGTGTAATGTACGGTAGAATGCCGAGTAAAATGGACTCAATCTCAGGAATTTAAGATCCTTTAGTTCATAAAATTTCACACTAAAGAGTAACGGTTTACTCTGATCACATGGATTAAAATGTACTTGATAATGAACTACATCGGCAATGAACTGTCGAGCCCAGTGTGATCTCGGTTTTTTTTAAAACCGGGGCACACTTGCCTCGATTCGTATTACAAAACGGCCTCGTGTTGTAATACCGTGTTGACTCCTAATTTCTTCATAATTGCGTTATTCAATAATATTTGGTACAACATCCCTCCCGGCCAGAGAAGAAAATTCATATTTTTGTGAATTTTCTCGCCACTGGCTGCACAATAATTTACAACAATATACATATTGTTACGTATTTGCCCTTTTCCTCCCTCTCAACCACCTTCATGTACGATCGTCTCTTTCTTTCCCGTTACTCTTTTATCTTGTTTTCTAGTCCGCGGTCGCGTCAATTCTTTTTGTATTTCTTTTTATTATTTATTTCGCCCCAAAATCTTTAATAAACAGTTAGTTATTATAAAATGTGCCCATTCTTTACAATATATACATATTGGTAGAGAAAATCCTAAATCTAAAGCGGGATATTTTCTCTTGCCAACCCTGAGCCAACATTGGTATCGGGGTAGTCAAAACCACTTCTATCGGATCCAGACAATCTCGCTGAATCTATGGTTTCGAGATCCGAACACTTGTAGATCAAGCCTTCACCTATTAATTTCGTTTTTCTTCTCTACAGGCGGAGCGTTGCTTCGATCCCCTCATTCCATTCTCTGAGTAGCAGCACAGCGATGATGACAATTGCTGTTGTCGCACTAGATAATATTGTTGTTGGATGTCGGAAGAATTCAGGGAAGCCATAAAACGTCATATTCGCATCCAGACGTTTTTCTTCTTGTCCTAGCTCTGCTTGTAGTCCCTGTAACTCCTTGACGTTCCGTACTACACTACGGAGATGGACATCTTCGAAGTTCAGTTATCCCTTCTTCAGGTAGTTGCTCGTGCTCTCGCTCAAGGTTAGATTCATCTTTGGATGAACATGTAAGTCGAGACGTACTTCTGATGATTTTCGCCCTCTGATGGTGAAATCTGCGGCAATTACTTCGCAGTGGTTGTCAATTCGTAAAAGCCCAGTTTCCTCAAGGGTACATCTACTCTCCTTCTGATCACATCTGACGGTGATCTCCTCAGGTCGTGGTGATGCATAAAGCCATGCATTGTCCAAACTCAGATGAATGAGTAACAGGCGTTTCAATGTCATATGTTTCATAACACATGAATCAGGAGTTTTTGCGGGGTCAACGTACATGTGTACCTCGGACGGGCTGTGCGGCCGTATAGCTTGGGTAGGCAGTATTTCCGTGCACATGTACTGTCCGTTGAGCCTCTTAAAATTTTTCAATTGCTCTGACGTCATTGGAATGAATTGCTGTGTCGACCCGTGGATGACCAAAAATTCGTTCTCAGGTTCAATGTACGAGTAGTATCCTTTTAC